CTTGGGTTAGAAGAAACGGTTTCGCACGCCTTCTACCATTGTCCCCGGGTCCGCCCCTTATAGGACCATGTCAGCGAGTTGACGGCTAGTCTCGCTCCCGAAAAGCTTGTGCTCATCGATCGTTCATACGCATGTGACAATGTGTCGCCCCCGTATCCTGGAGTGAAACGAATGGTGTTTCTGACGGCCCGAATGGACGACGCGACAGGAGGAAGTCTTGCGGGGCATCCGTCTTTCACATCAGGATCTGATCCGATTCTTTGAGCATCAGCTAAAGATGAAAATCAGAACTGATAGAAAACGCTTGCATTCGACAGGGTTTATCGAAAGGTGGGTGACTGAGGTGAGATTGGTTCGTTTGAACGGGGCTAGCCTTGATTTTCTCTTTTAGGTCTACCTATGTCACATCAGGGCGGCTACCTGTGGAGCCCTCCACTGGTTAGGCTAGACAAGCTTTGTGTACCTAGTTAATGTGAGTAAGTGTTGTCCCCGGCCACATCTTTGGTTATGATCCAGGTTGAGATTCCCAACCTCCCCAGTTTGTTTTGGCCCCTTTTTATCTCATCTAGATTTGCTTTATATTTTTCCAATTCCGTATAATTTTTTATCCTTTCCCCACTCCCTTAGCGAGAGAGCTTCTTGATTTTGTCCAATGGGCAGAATACAGCGGCCTCTTTTTTTAGGGTTGGAAGGGCCCTACTAACATCAGTTATGTTTAATTTACTTTGTGTTGATTTTTAGTTTGTTATTGGGTTCATCTCCCTCCCCTCTCATTCTTCCTTATTAGATTTTTATGTATAATAATCTATTATCATTAAATTTTTATAGCATGGGGCGCGTTTTGTAGGTCCCCCTTGAGAGGATACAGTATTGTGGTGTATGGAGGATTGAGTGGTGACGGACGAGTTTTTATGGCGAATGTGAAAATTGTAAAAAGTGAATGGGTCGTGAATCAGATTAGCTACGTATAGGATAGTTAGTGTCGACCAACCTCTACCCCTCCCCTTTTTAGGCCATGTGCCACAATTATGTATTATACATAATAAATATACCGTTTTCTCTTTCGTCTCCTTCCTTGCTGCCAAGATGTAATCTTCAAGAACTCTCGTTTTAAACTTGCGGTCAGACGTTAAAGAACATTACCAACATTCACGCAAGTACGAACTCTTAACTCTTTTGAACTTTACCAACTTTTCCAATTCACATTTCGTAACTCTATCAAACCTTTAGCTTATATGCATGTACATCAAAACAAATAAATTCAAATGTTATGTTTTGAACCATTACGTTCTGTCTTGTATTTTTGCAATGTGGCACGTACTCAGTCAGAAGGCACCAAAACTTCACTGTTACTTCATTCGCCAGTGAACCTTGTAAGAGAATCGTGAGGAATATCTCAGAATCAGCATATCTTCTTGGCGCGCAAAATTTTTTCGTCACCACGTGTGTACACACAGAATTACAATTCACAAATACTAAGAAAACTTATTTTCGTATCCTAATACGCACGCCGTACACCTTTCTTTTTTTTTTTTAAAAAAAAGCAACAAAATTTGTGATTAGACCTGATGTAAGTGCAAATCACAATTTTCTCGCAGCGACGTATCCAATTTCACCCGACAGACAAATTTTATCTGTAATGACAAAATGTCGGAATTTTTGACAGCAAGGCTGAATCTTCACTCGAGCAATAGAGAGACAACTTTATACAGTATTTTCTACCGCACAACACTGTATGGACATGGAAGCAAAACTTAAGTTTCACTGGAGTGAACATACAATTTTCTCTGGACGACTCATTGTTCCTTTACTTATGATACAACATCACTTTGAGAATTTGCATGCACGTTATCCGTTTGCTATTAATATTGCAAATTCTGCATTCTCTCGCTACATACAGACGCTACCCGTAATTACGTTTAGCAATCGCATCCTGTTCAATTCTGAAACTCAAGAAAAAGCGCGAATACAATTTCTTACACCACGTGGCGACATTTCATACCACTGCTTGCTACATTGCTTACCATGCTTTTAAAACAATCTTCGGACGACTCACTGTCTCGACCAACATTTATGACGCATCTTTCATATAAAATTTGCTGAAGATTTACTAAACAATCATTAATAAGCAAAATTTTCAACTTCGCCATGACGTTGCAACTCCAACATCATCTGTACGAATTCGACTCACTGAATTACGCAGATCCTTGGAAATTAAGCTAGCTTTTCAGCACAACGTCAGCTGATCACAATTTACGCGTACACATCGTCGACATACATTCATTCACATTGTGCTACACACCGCATATACATTCGGCAATTTTTCATCTGATAACATTTCAGAAATCCAATTTCAACGCGTTTTGAACACTCTCTCTATTCCTCTTTACAGAATCTAAGTCTAGCTCTTACATGACATATTAAAAAAATTTGCTATCATTTCTTTAATCTCGAGGGGGTATTTGTTGTGATTATCATCACACACATACATACATACAGGTCATACGACAAGCATTCATTGGCAAATCTCCTCAAAACTAGCTTGCTGATTGGTCAATTCCGACCAATCAGATCGCCTGCACGAGAGGAATGATATTTTCCCGGGCACAAGGTTGGATCCGATCACGTGTGACACAACCTTATATAAACAAAGCACGAGTAAGCCTTCTCTCTCCGTTTTCTCTTTCGTCTCCTTCCTTGCTACCAAGATGTAATCTTCAAGAGCCCCCGTCTTAATCTTGCGGTCAGACGTTAAAGAACATTACCAACATCCACACAAGTACGAACTCTACCAACTTTTACAACTCACATTTCCTAACATGCAAAAGGAAATTTATTCTTCTAAAACTGCAGTTTAATAATAAATTCAACTTCGTGAACTCCGGTACAAATATTTCCCAAATCTAAGAGACGTAACTCTATCAAACATTTAGCTTATATGCATGTACATCAAAACAAATAAAATCAAATGTTATGCTTTGAACCATTACTTTCTGTCTTGTATTTTTGCTATGTGCTATTTTACATCAAATATAAATTGCATGTGACCGCCACATTTGATGGTGACCTCCAGCGTTTTTGCTTGTCATTTTCCACGTCATTCCTAATCAAATTTAAATAAATGTGGTGGGGGTCCTCTACATCTGATTAACAATCCTTCACATTTTTATTGCTGACCCGTTGTTCATCGCGGACCTCGCTACACTATTTTCAATTTTTTAATCTCTTTCCATTTTATTTTGTCAGCAGCTGAAACAGCGATATTACTTGAGGTATTTTTCATTTCAGGTATGATTTGTGTTTGTCTTGAATTTCAAAATCTCATAGAATCGTTATTTCATAATTCTTTATTTACTTTAATTGTAATGAACAACATATGAAATGAAGTCTACATATGATTAAATGTTTTTTTCTAGTTTGTCAACAAAAATAAACGGATATTGTATTTGAAAGTACAGATTAAAGTCTAAATTGATTGTAAATCTCTTTGGAAGAAACCTTCGTTCATTTATATAGAATAAATAGTGCTCGGTAAAAATGGCAGCGGTAAAAATGGCAGCGGAAAAAATGGCAACGGTAAAAATGGCAAAAGTGGATAAATAGGAAAAAATGGCAATTCGACAACAGAAAATTATGACCGTTCGAGAAGGATGGGTCTAAGCTCCTATCCCTCTAGTTTAAAATAGGGCTAAGTCCCCCCCCACCTCAATATTTTAAAATAAATATTTTTAAATAGATATTTACTCTAGTGGTGGGGAGCTAGGCTCCTTCTCCTCTTGTTTTAAATAGGGGCTAAGTTCCCGCTCCTAGTACTAAAAACATTTTTTTAAATTTTCGATGTCGACTTTTAGAAGTTTTATTTGGTGTGTGTGGGGGGGCGCTAGGTTCCAACTCCTAATTGCAGTAAAAGCACAAATCGTAGCATGTTTAAGTGAATCTGATGACTATAATTAATTTTATAATTGATAGTTGACATTAGGATTATATATATATATATATATATATATATATATATATATATATATATATATATATATAAAATAAGTGTATTAGTGTATATATATATATAAAATAATTGTATTAGTGTGTATATATATATATTTATATATATATATAAAATAATGTATTAGTGTATATATATATATATATATATATATATATATATATATATATATATATATATATATATATTAGTGTTGGGACGATTAATCGGAAAATCGGAAAAATCGCAAAATCCCATTCACAGATTTCGTATTGTCTCTCAGAGTCTAATTTAATTATTTTATTGGTAAATTATGGTAAACGAAGTAAATATTCTAGAGTTCACTTAGCCTATTCCCTCAGCAAACCGTTTGAATTTCTGTTCACACCTATTTGCTATATGTCTATATGACGCCTCTCAGAGACTTCACACTTGATTATTAAAAGATTGAAAACGCATCAGACAAGATTTTAAATTTTACTGGCACCAGTCTGACCCTGTCGTTGTCTGATAACCTCTGAAATAATTAATGTTTTATTGTTTTTTTCCGGTTTCATCAAGTAGACCTATAATTGGTTTTCCCAAGTTTTTCAGTGTGTTCAGACGTAATCGCCTAAAAAGTAAAATCTCATGGGAGGGGGGAGCTTTAGCTGAATATTCTTTTTAATTTGACAAACTTCTCATGTTTTTCCATTATGTATTGTATCCAAGATTTTAATAAATTCATTGTGACATATTCATCTATAATTTTTTCTTTTGCCATTTTTTCTTATTTATCCATTTTTGCCATTTTTAACGTTGCCATTTTTACCTATTTATCCACTTCTGCCATTTTTACCGTTGCCATTTTTACCCTGCCATTTCTTCCGTTGCCATTTTTACCACTGCCATTTTTACCTAAATTCAGAATAAATACAGAACATTTCTAACTAATACAAACATCTGATTTATAATAATGATTAGTCTTTATGCAATTATATCATTCGGATATCAACAAAAAATGTTTATCAAACCTTACTATGTATTGAGCTGTTGATTCCTAATTCAAGGGGCTTTCTCTCAGATAACTCAAAAAGGCTTTCTCCAATTTTGGTTGTCGCATTCATAGCAATGACCTGAAATATCAAAATGAAATTTTAAAATTAAGCAAAATATTTTCGACTTGTTCTGATGGTTCATTTATCTCTATTTACTATATAGGCAATTTATCGTTTTGTAGCTATTTACTTATCTTAAAAGAATGAAGTTTATTTGAGAATTTTTATTTGCAAAATTTTAGAATATTAAAATTCGAAGACATTTCAATAACTTCAGTAAAGAAATATTTAATGTATTGAAATTGGAACGATACGCCTCTGATGGCAAAGTAGACGATGTTTTTTTTTGTTTTTGTTTTTTATTGCCGCCTTTGTATGGGATTGGGGGTGGAAGACGGCGCCTCCCTTTGATCAGGAGAGATTGTCCTCAGTCAGAGATTTTACCTTGGTCGATTAAGACGCTTTGTATTCTGACTCCGTGGTCAACTAATTTAGTTTACAACGTAAAGTAACGTGTTACTTCGAATATTCGACTTACAGTGTTGAATTATTTTCCTCAATAGTGTTAATGTTTATTTAACTTTAAATGCTATATATCTGGTTTTATTTAGGGAGGGGAAGAACAGAAGGGGAGTTTTCGTATCGAATGACTTTTTTTGAAGAAAAGATTTTATTGGCTTGGGTATAATTCCGTAGCTGAGATTTGTTTGAATTTGAGAAACTTTGAAGAAAAGATTTTTATTTAGGTTCGGTGGAATTCCGAAGCTAAAAGAAGTAATTTAATTCCGAAGAAGAGTATTTATTGCATTTGATTTGTTTGTTGACTCTGAAAGTCAACGTTTGTTTTTTTCTGGCAGAATCGTTCGAGGCAGGAATTCGGTCTCAATTCTCATTCTTTACTTTAAAGGCAGAATTTAAAATATTTTAAAAGATATTCATCTTGGAATCAGATTTTATTAGCCTAGGTAAGGAATTGTGAAGAAAAGAAGATAAAAGTATTTGAAGAAAAAAAGAGAAAAGGAATTGTGAAGAAAAGAAGATAAAAGTATTTGAAGAAAAAAAGAGAAAAAGAATTGTGAAGAAAACAAGAGAAAAGTATTTGAAGAAAAAAGAGAAAAAGAATTGTGAAGAAAAGAAGATAAAAGTATTTGAAGAAAAAAAGAGAAAAGGAATTGTGAAGAAATTGACTGTTATGAAAAGATTTTAAAACAAGTTTTTTATTGTAAAAGAAAAGGTTGAAAAAAGAAAAGATTTTTAAGTTGTCAGTTTAAAGAATGATACTGACAAAATTATTAATGTAAGTAAATCCCTTTGTTTATTATTATGTTTTGTTACTCTTTGGCATATGGAACAATATGCATAGAAATTATGTTTTATTGAAATAAATGTTTTATCAATGAACACTATATTTTGGTTTTATCTACTAAATTTAAGATAGTCTGCTTCTTTGAGTTGTTTTGCTTTTACTTTCCTATGAAGAAGCCGAGAAAATCGGCAGTATGGTATATAGTATATTTATAATTTAAATGTATTAATTTAGGACTATTTTTACCCTGCCATTTTTTCCGTTATCATTTTTACCGCTGCCATTTTTACCTAAATTCGTGTATGTGAGTGTTGCCAAAAATCTTTTAGGGCTGTTTCATAATTTTAGGGGCTTTATTGAAGATGGTTTCGTTGGAGTTATTTACAAATGAATAAAATTATTTTAGCAATTATCTTTTTTAGAAAATCTTGGTAAAATTATGTTATTAAATATATTACCCTCACTTAGTTTTATGAAATTTCCAGATATTCAACTCTCTTCATATTTATATAAGTTAAAAGCAGGAATCCTTGGATAATTTAAAACATCATTGTTTTTGTCAAACAGAAAAACTTTTTACAGACAATCTACTCTGAATCGTAAAATAAAAAAAATACAATAAAACTATGACATTATTTAATTAGAAAAGCTTTTAATTGCTTTTGAGATATATTAAGGACACTATTGTCTTAAAAAAACTAAAGGATTAAATTTACTATCTCGAGTAAGCAAAAAATAAATTTTATTTTTGGAAGAATTTTTAAAAAAGAGATTTAGATTTATTATGAACGGTGGTTAAAAAAATGACAATAATCAACTATTTTAGCAAAAAAAAACTCTTTTCAGTTAAATTAGTTTTGAAATACAGCAAAGTATTTTGCTTATTGAAAATATTAAATTTAATCTATTATCTTGAAATTAAAATTAAAATAAGGCCTTCAAGAAAGATTTTATTTAAAAAAAATAATTTTAAACCTTAGGTATCGCGTTTGTGTAAGTGCATCTGTTTTTATGCCTATGTCGATTCCCATATATTTGGTAAAATTTTATGATTATTTTTCTGCTTTTGTCTGTTACAGTTTCTTAGGCTTATGAAAGTTGTAGAGGCCTATATCATTTTATCGATTATTTTTCTTAGTTCATATAGTAAATATATAAATATAAGCTCAAATCTTCCCATTGTAATGCCGAAGGTTCCTTCTTTCTTTATCCACGTTTCTGTGTTGTCCAATAACAGTAATTTTTGGCAGTGTTTAATGATTTTTACTTAATTTGTATTTATTTTTATTTGTACATAAGTCAAGGAGATAGCCTTAACTATCATGGGATAGGTTATAGAAGGGTAGAAATCTTTTATATTTAGTTGCATAAATTCGTAATTATGTTTATTTTTTAGGTTGCCGACTAGCCTATAGTTGATTTGGTGTTTTTCTACTACTTTATTCCTAACTTCGTCCTTAGTTCTGAATTAATTCTTTCTAGTATTATTTTACTTATTTTACCTACCTAACTTTTAGTTAGGTTTATGAGTCAAAATGTTGGGTTTGTTTTGAAGTTTTCTTTCCTCATACGCTCTATCTCTGATATTGAGCACTTTTACCCATAAATATAGCATACCTTAAAAGTGTATATATATATATATATATATATGTGTGTGTGTGTGTGTGTGTGCATCACTAAAGACAAAAAGAAAACCTATTTTAACCGACGTGTCGTTCTCCGAGGGATTTTATCAAGGCGAATGCAAGAATCTTATTTTGTAACAAGTATTTATATATAAGAGCAAAAATATTACTCGTTTTTTAAAATTTTAAATTTAAGAAGGCTTCATCAGCTTGGTTGAAAAATCAGGCAAGTTATAGGGTACGTGAAATGACACAATTCAATGTCTAATAAACGAATGTAAGTGATGTTCTTGAAATTTTTTATGCAAATTAGTAATTAAATTTTAATATAAAATCTTATCAAAATATAAATCTGCGCCCCGGATTTTTCCAATATCTCCATTGCCGAAAGAATTATTTCTTTCCCACGCCGACATGCATGACTATAAAAATGTTAAAAAATTAAAATCATGTCGAATATTTTAAAGTAAGAAGTCAATTCCAGAATCATCGAGCAATAAAAGTCAATCAATACTAAAAGTTTGATTAACAGTAAATTCAGAATAAAAAAAAATTGAATACTATAATTCAGTTTATTCGGGACATAATCTTTGAGTGTGTGTGTCTATGAAAACTCGTGCTGGCGAAGCTGTTGTGGTTCATGGAAAGATTATGGGCTTTTAATTTCATTCTCTATATATCTGTCTTCATTTCATATATACCTTTTAAAAATCATTTCACCCTAAGCAAAACAATAATTCCAGTAAAGCGATGAGGGTTACCGAGAGTGAAAAAAAGAGAAAACTTTAACGAGGACAAAGGACAATAAAAGAACAGATAAATACACCGTTAAAAAATGTTTCAAACCTCATTAGGTGTACGACAAGAAAGAAATGAGAGCCCTAGACTATTTAAAATTTTCCTAGACTATGCCCTGCATAGTTACAAATATAAATGTGAAGAGATGGGTGCTGATAATTTAAGTATCCCATAACACATCCCAAACAAATCTACTAATAGAAAACAATGTTCTTGCTTTCCCTTCCGAGGTCAATGATTATGAGGTGGGGATATACCAATGACATAGGTATTCATGGTTGAGATAAGAACTATCTGGAACAAAAATCAACATTCTCTACCAAGTGCTCCAAGAAATAGGATTCAAGATAAACCTTTCCAAAACAGAAACTATGGAATTGGAATGAAAGCAGTGATAGCACTTACCCTTAACGCTTAAAATATCTCGATGTATGGATCAGTCATAACAAATTCAGTATAGGGTAGCTTCGCAAGACGCCGCAAATTGCTACAAACCAAAGCGTTGACTCGAGTCCTGTTCTTAAATATCCCCGTCAGATCGAGACCTTCATATGGATGAAATGCATGGCGCTAAACCCCTTCAAAAATATCTGCTAGTTTTATATAACCGATTTCTAGGATAAATGATTAAAATGGCTTTGAGCAAGTGAAACCTGTGGGTCTTGGTGAAGACCACAATTCTTCTAACCTTGTGGAAGGTGCTACAGAATCACAAGCAAAGAACTGTGCCAAATAACAGAAATAACTTTCAATGGTAACAATAGCCAAAATGGATATCACATGTAACTCGAAGATAATTACATAATTAAGAGGCTGACGTTCCACACAACTTCAAGTAAAAGTTAGGTTTTTCAGTGTCAAAAGAAAAAAAATAATATGTACTATCTTACATATATAGGTTTAGAAATTAATGGAATATCACATACTGAAACAAACTTGCAATTGTGTAATCGTTCAACACACTGCGGCTGGTCGCTGAATTGACCGCTTCAATTCAGACCTACCCCATCCCACGTTGTGATTTTTAGATCATAAGGCGCCCAAGATCGAATCGTCGCAGGTATCTTCGTGTTGGGCTGGTCCAAGCGGGGTGATGACGTACAAAGAAAAAATAACACTCAAATAAATTGAACAAAAGTAAATACTGTCTTTATATCAGTCTCCATACAATAATTGGTTTATATCGGAGTTCGCATGCAATTAATTATCTGCCCAGTTCGCATGCAATTAATTATCTGCCCAGTTCGCATCTAAATCGGAAGTGATACTATCGTCCACCTGGCAAAAATTTGGTTTGCTGTTGTTGGTAAAGTTTGGCACAATGCTGAAGTCTGAGGCTTCTTTTCGGCAAATAATCACGTAGGGTGTATCACGACCGGTGGCTCAGATGAACTCTCTGACCGTCTCGTATCTGTCTTCCACTCCGACTCATCTCCTACTGGTAAATTCGCTTTGCGCATTCGTATTTATGGTCATAATTTTGGGAAATTCTCTTCTTCCTATCGCTCATATCATTACCTCTCATTAAACCTCCTCAGTGAGCGTGGGTGGCTTATCCACCCACTCCAGTCTCGAATCACCTTTCAACCAGGATAATCAACTCCAAATTCGTTGTTTACGAAAATGAAGTTTTCGCTTTGCAGCTGTGTGTCAATCAACATCGTCCCTTAAGTCTAGGCCACTTTTCCATTGTTCAAACTGTTCAATTTTTCCCACGGGTTTTTGGTATTAACCCTTCTTGTTTCAATGTCTCTCAGCACATAACACTTTCTTATGTTTTAATAAAAGTTTCTTCCGTTTTACTGCGACAACGACAAATAGTATCACAATTGTAGTACATACCGATGAAAAAAGGTGAGAAACATTCTGGCTTTCAAAAAGGCTAATGAAGATTTCGGATTTTTTCAGTATTCCAATATTATTTAACGGCGGATTGGATATAACCTGTTCAGTTAGGAATCTTGTCATTTCATTCAACGTCTGTCGAAAGAAAAATGGTGAAAAAACGTCAATAGATATTCATAGAAAACGGTATTTAATTAATAAATAATATACGAAATGGATAAAAAGTAAAAGTTTAACAAAATTAACCACATTTATTTTAATTAAATATTTCTCCTACATGAATGTGTTTCTTTTTTTTTCATATTTGAAAATTGTCTGTGAAGTGAAAAAAGATATATAATTAGTTTTTTACGACTTATTATTACGTGATCGTAAATAATTTTCCTGTTCTAATTAGTTTCTGTTTGGTGTTTATTACCTGTTCGTAAGTAATTGGGATAAAAAAATAACTGTTTTAAGAAAAAAAATGATATTAATAAACGAAAATTATTTTTTTACATTTTGATTATTTGTTTAAACTTTATTGGGGGTTTTCTTGTTCTCATAGGGCGGGGTTTTATGATGTTGGTGATTGATCAGGTATTTGGCCAGTCTGTGCCTGCAACAGTATGGGGTTGGATATACTAAATTGTAGTAGACTGAGTTTTAATGTTTACTCTGGGGTCAGCGTTCGTATGTGATAGTGTTGTTGAATCATTTTGTTTGATCCCTTGAGCTGACAATTTGAAAGTAACTGGTCTCTGTAGTCTGTAAGTCTTCCTTCGTTGTGCATTTTGACGATGTAATTACGTGGGTCTGTGCATTTATTTTAAAATGGTGTCTTTTAATATTGATTTTTAATAAGTTTCGACAAATTACTCAGAGTTATATGAAAAATGTTGGTTTTTAAAACTTCTGAAAACAATGAAATTTCAATAGAAATTGACGCTATTTACGCCAATTTCAATTACTTTTGAAACCTTAAATAACGTTATTTCAAAATGTAATTTGGTGTTTGAAAACATCAGAAAATCCGTAAAACTATTGAAAATCGATTTGGTTTCGATCGAAAAATATAGATTCTTATTATGTTCTTTAATCGTTTTGTCATATCAGATATTCTGATGGATCCAGCCTAACCTACTATATTTCTTGATATATGCTCTGTGACACCTGAAGAGCAAAAGGACAACTGTGTCTACCAAAAGGTGTATTAAAACATGTAAGGAGACTTGATTCTTCATCAAGGTGTGCATTTCTAAGTATCTATGTTTTGCATCTAACTATATATTGGTTTCTGTTTTGCTGTTTATTACCTGATCGTAAATAACTGTCACACATTACTTAGTTTCTGCTTGGTGTTTATTATCAGATTGTAACTAATTGTACTACACTAATTAGTTTGTATTTGCTGTTTATTATCTGATCGTGTATAATTTTCAATTAGTTTGTGTCTGTTGTTTATTACCTGATCATAACTAATTGTCCCCATTTAATTAGTTTCTGTTTGGTCGTTATTATCGGATCATAACTGATTATCCTGCTTTACCTAGTTCCTGATTGGGTTTATTACGTGATTGTAACTAATTTTGCTGCTTAATTAATTTCTGTTTGGTATTTTTTAACTGAATTGTCATGCCTTACTTACTTTCGGATGGGCTTTATTACCAGATCGTAACTAATTGCCCTGCTCTAATTAGTTTCAATTTGGTGGTTATTACCATATCAGTCTCGCTGCATTTAATTTCTGTTTATTACCTGAGTATTTTCCCTTTGGTGTTCATTACCTGATTGTAACTAATTGTACTGATTTAATTAGTGGTTGCTTGGCGTTCGTTACCAGATTGTAATTAACTGTCTTGCTTTATTTAGTTTATCTTTTCTGTTTATTACCTGATTGTAACTCGCTGTCGTTGCCTGTTTGGTGTTTATTACCTGTGTTAAATAGATTTCCCTGCTTTACTTACTTTCTGATGTGCTTTATTACCTGATCGTAACTAATTGTCTGCTCTAATTAGTTTCAGATACAAATTCAAAAAACTGTACAAATCGCTGGTAGTCTTCATTCTCCTCTACTGATATGAAGCGTGAACACTGTTGGCAGAAACAGAGAGAAGGGTCCAAGCGTTTGAAAACAAATGCATGAAAAAAATCCTTGACATCTTCTATTGGGAACATAAAGCCAATAAATTTGTGCGGAAAAGGGTTGAAAGTTTTGTGGGCCAGCAGGAACCTCTTCTTGTAACTGTCAAACGGAGAAAAATGGTTTGGACGCTTACAAGACACGGCAGCCTGTGCAAGACCATCATGCAAGGCACCGTTGAAGGTGGACGTGGGAGAGGACACCAACGCAAAAACTGCTTGGACAATGTCAAACAATGGATAAGTATGACTAGACCAGAATTGTTGTTCGCTGCCGTTGATAGACCGTTTTAGGTGGAGATTCAGTGTGGCTTCTGCAGTCGGATTCCCACAACGATTACAAAAGTCAAGGGGATGATGATGATGATGATGATGAATTAGTTTCTGCTTGCTCATTTTATTATGCAATTATAACTTATTTACCTAATCTAATTAATTTCTTTTTTATGTTTACTACTAGATTTTAAATAGTTTTCCATTTTTAATTAGTTTCTGCTTGGTGCTTACTACGTAATGGTAAGTAATTGTCCTACTTTATTACATAATTGTAGCTAATTTTCCGTTGTTACTTATTTTCTAATTCAATTTACCTTATGCAAGCCAGTTATGACATTATGACACAATGAATTACTGAGTGTGATAGAATTAGAAAACAAAAACATTATTAAGGAGCGAGAACAATAGAAGAGTAAACAATAGATAATGATTGACATTGCATTTAAATTTTTGAGGATCAAAGTTGTCTCGAAATCATATAGCCGGAAGAGAGTTCCACAAACGAGAAGTGCGAGAAAATAAACATTTAACATAGAACGAACGGTTACATCTCGCCAATTCAACTGTGAACTGATGAGACCTTGCCGCCAATCCAGTAATGCGCTTAAATTCATAAAGTCTAGGCACCATAGCGAAGAGTTCATCCGAACAATTACCATGAAAGTATTTATAGACAAGGTAGAGGGAAGCAAATTTACGTCGGTGAGAAAGTGACTGAAGCCGAGAAGCCAAATCGGGACCAATAATATTGCTGATTCTTCTTTGGATTTTATCAAGAATATCTAAATATATAGCAGGTGCACCAAACCATACGTGGCAGAAATATTTTATGTATGGACAAACGATAAACATAGATATGTAAGGTAGATTCTTGAGAGAAAAATTGTCTAGCACGGCATAGTGAACCATCTTTCTTAGAAGCTTACCTAGCAATCGATTCAATATAGTTTTTCCACTTCATATCAGCAGAGAACATGAACCGAAGAAGGCGTGACGAGTTACTCTCCTGGAGGTTAACATCAACCATGCTGATGAAAGACAGAAAGGGAGGGGGTCTCTAACATGATTCATAAAAAAACATTTTTGTTTTGGGGGCGTTAAAATTAACAACCCATTCATAGACACAGTTAAGAACAGACTATAGTTCGTTTTTTAGATCAGGTCCCAATATGACCTTATCGTACTGATCAGACTTATTATCGAGACAGGAGTAAATATTTGAGAGCCGATACCACCAGGTCGTTAATGAAAGTTTGAAATAAAGTAGGCTCACGGATAGAGCCATAGCAGACATCTGTCTTAGTACAAAAGGATCTAGAAGAGTGGCCGTTCAGGATAACTTTCATTTCACGATTTGGATGAAGAAAATCGTTTTAGCAAACCCTGTTGAACACTTTCAAGAGTTTCTTTTTTTCTATTTATTTTCTATTTATAATAGCTTCATATCTCGCACCTCTCGCCTGTGGAACTCCCTTCCCTATTCCTGTTTCTGTGAGAGCTATAATCTCCAACTATTCAAATGTAATGTCAATCGACATCTCCAGTTGCCTTGATCTATCCACTATCCTTCTCCTCATCCTTTCCTCTATCGCTCCTATCTGATCTTGCTCCAAATCTTCTGTAACCCCTTGCGTCCTAGTGGCTTCCCGCCTTGCTTGGGGGGGTGAAATATATATATATATATATATATATATATATATATATATATATATATATATATATATTTCTTGTCCCATCTGAAAGAAAATAACCTCATTTACTAAATTAGCAAAAGTAGTCAGAAAATTTATTTTTTGATTTTTATTGAATTATTTTTAGTAAGATTTCAGATGTATTTTCATTGTGATATTGTGTAAATAGTTTGCTGAAATAACATCTTCAAGGATTTTTCTTTATTTAACTGTAAAAACATTTGACGAACACCCCACCGAATTAAAAAGATATCTAAAAGGTTAGAGTAAAACACCCCCATAAATATTTCCATAAATAACCCACCAAATTAAAAAGTACACACAAGATATCTAAAAACATCTATCTATAAATGAATAAGTACTAAAAATTCCTTCTGAATCAGATTCCTTGATTTTTGCCAAATATTTTAAAATTTAACGATTTTATGCTTTCGTTTCGGTGAAAAAAAATCATTTTGGTTGTACCTAGTATACATATATTAATTTAATTATGGGTAAGCAAATAAAAATGCAACATTTACCTTTTCAAGTTGATCTTGTTTTTCGTCTTTTTTAACAGAAAAACTGTTAATTATGGAATCCCATTCTTTATTTACTTGTGATGCATTCTGGGAAAATATTTCGTTTATCTTTTCCTCCTGTATTTCTTTGATTTTATTGCTTACCGAGATTTTCTAACATGAAATAAAGATAAAAATATTGACTGAAACTCAAAATTTAATTAGTGATTATAAATTTAAGAATACGGGCGAGCAGTCATAACACTCGCAATATCGATACATTAGCCTCCTTAGTGCCATCAGTAAAAATCTTTGAATCTATAACCAAGAAGAGATTTGTTGAACACAGAAACTGAGTGATAAGCAGTATGGCTTCCCCTCCTGCTAGATCGACATCTGATTTCTTACCACAGAATCAGTGAGGCAGTAGATAATAAATTAATCACAGAGACCATCGTCCGGGATATACCCAAGGCTTTTAACAAGGTGTGTTATCGGGGAATGCTACATAAACTCTCCAGCTATGGAATCTCTGGAAGTACTCTCTCAAGTATTAAGTTCTTACTAATAGGTAGGTCCCTGAAGGTTGTTGTTAACTGTCATAGGAAGATCAATGCGGACATTCCACAGGGTTCTCTCCTCGATCCTAGGCTCCTTCTCCTGTATATTAATGATCTGCAAAAGAGCATACTCCTATTATTAGAAAATATCTATGCGGATGGTACAAAAGTTTACAAGTACACCTCCCAAAATCTGTAAGAGCAGAACCTAGATCATCTCTCCTCTGATCTAGCCCAGTTGGATCAATGGGGTAGGGGCTGGCTAGTAAAATTCAATACGGCCAAAATCAAACTAAACTTGTAGAGGTTTAGGGATGGTAAAACTAGTAACATTACACAACCACCGAGCAGACCCGGAATTTTCACCTATCATGATGGAGACTCCTTAACTTGGTATCCTATTGGGAATCAAGCTCTCTCCCGGACCTCAAGTGGAACTCTGATTTATGTATTTTTTTAATATCCGATTTATTGCTAAAGATGCTGGGAAAATAGTCGGATCATTGCTCCTTTTCCTGTATATAAATGATCTGCAAAAGAGCATACTCCTATTATTAGAAAATATCATTGCACTGTTCCAGTAAGTATCTGACTCCCTCTGCTATACTCTGTAAGAGACAAATCAGACCAAAAATAGAGTATTTCTGCCATGTCTGGGCTGGCGCTGCCCCGTCCTCACTTACCTGTCTTCATAGAGTTCAAAAGTGTCTACACAGCTTTGTGGGTTAGGAAATACTTCCCCCCTCCAATCCCTTTCCCCACAGATGAGATTTGCGAACTTCTTGCTGATCTATCGCTATTTCTATGGCATGTGTTCTGTAGACCTACATTAATTAGACTCACCCCTGACCTTTACAAGTGGGACCCGTCATGCCACATACACAACGGTGAATAATCCCCTTCATATTCTTAAAGTAAGAAGTAAGGTCCATTCGGGCAACTTCTTCCTAAAATCTACTGCTTTGTGGAACAGACTCACGGCAGAATATTTTCTGACCTCTTCAAGCCTTGGGTTAACCATTATCTTTCTTTCCCCATGAACTTCAATTCTTGTCCCTTTTTCCCCTTATACAACGCCACACAGTAATCCTCTACCTTGAGTGGCTATTGTGGCTTGTATAAGGTGAAAATTAGTACAAAAAATGCACATAAACACAGAATATAGAAAGAGAGATATTTCGCTACAAAATATAAATATAAAACCAACAGAATTTAGAAAATATGTTCACCAGCAAAACGCGGTATTAAGTGTTCAGATATTCATTATAATAATAGTTCAGACCACTTAGAGATCATGATCAACAAAACAGAAATAAATTAACGAATAAAAACGGTAACGTTTCAGGCAAAAATTACTTACATGGTGTAGTTGTCATCTTCGTTATTATCATCTCGTTCGGCCGTTGTGCCCTTCAAGACCAAAGGACAAAAAGACCGAAATGAGATGATAATAACAACAAAGTGATGGACAATACATGAGATGAATATAAATATTTAATATTAGTTTCAAATTGGCCCAAAATAAGGATAGGGAACTGTGTAAATAAGAATTCTAAAAGCATTAATTAGAAATTTTAAATAATTTTTGTGAGAGAGAATGAGAAGAGAGAACGCCAGATCTCTTATCCTGAGTATTATGACTGACGAAAGCCAAATCTCTTTGCCTGTCTGAGCAGTCAGACTTCTTAAATAGTCACAAATCGGCTTCCAAATTAGAACCAAAAATTGATACTATGAGGTTCATAACTTACTTTCTCCATTGGCTATCAATCACAAAATGTATCTCTTTAAACTACACCTGTTTGCAAATTTTATTTAGGCTGGTTTTGAGACTATAAGATTTTAGACACCATTTAAAAAAAATTTGAAAACCAAATTTTATATTCGTATATTTATTATGAATCACCAGGCTTTATTTTTGCGGCATTTTTACATCAATTTCACCCCCATATATATAAACCTTGACTACTGTATTATTTTTTTTATTTTTATGAAAACCTTTAATTATGTTCATACAGTATTACATTTTTATTATATAAACCTATATAATTTTGAGAAAACACAAGCTTGATTTAAAGGCTTTGCTTAATTAATACTGACGAGGAAACCAAAACCTTTAGTTAAACGTTGAAGAATGAATATCTGAACACTTAATACCGCGTTTTGCTGGTGAACATTTTCTAAATTCTGTTGGTTTTATATTTATATTTTATAGCGAAATATCTCTCTTTCTATATTCTGTGTTTATGTGTATTTTTTGTACTAATGTTCACCTAATACAAGCCCCAATAGCCACTCAAGGTAGAGGATTACTGTGTGGCGTTGTATAAGGGGAAAAAGAACAAGAATTGAAGTTCATGTGGCTATGCAGGAAATATAATAGTTAACCCAAGGCTTGAAGAGGTCAGAAAATATTCTGCCGTGAGTCTGTTCCACAAAGCAGTAGATTTTAGGAAGAAGTTGCCCGAATGGACCTTACTTCTTGTTTTAATAATACGAAGGGGATTATTTATTTAATTAAAAAGAATTAATAAAGCATTTATAAAAAAAATAGTATGTGAAAAAATACAACCCTCTTTTCCTTTCTGCTACTTATAGAGAAAACATTTCCAATCAATTAAGTATTTGGATGGAATATTTTTGTTAAACCTTTCTTCTGAATCTGACTATGGCAGCACTATGTCTGGTTCAAATAATAAAAAGTAGAATGTACTAGAACTTTTTTCTTTCTTGAGAAGAAAACTCTTTCTCAAAATTATTTTCAACCAATCAGAAGGCCAGAATTTGAAGCTTGAGATAATTTTGAAAAGAAACTTAGAGAAGCCGTCAGCCGACTTAAATCACTATTCATAACGATTAAAAAATAGACGTTCCTATTTCAATGTTGACCTATCAACCTTCGACCGGTTCAACAAAATTTGACAACACTTTGTGTTACACACTCTACCAAGGACTTTTATATTTTCTCCTATTACTGTAAATAAAAGTGCTTTATAATCTTTTTTCTACTTAGCTTAATTTCTTTAGACGCTCAAAAGAATATTTTGAGCGGCTGACTCCTCCCTACACCATCCTTTTTTACATTAATTTTTGTAAATATACAATTTCTTTATATTTGTATTCACAATTATGTTTGAATTCACATTGTTTTATTGTGTGTCTAAAGAGGTGCTAATTGATAATTCTTTTGCATATGAGAAAATACCCGGAAATTTTCCAAAAATGCTAAGTGAGAATTATATAATTTCCTTATTTACAGGGATCATTAAATAATTTTGAAATAAAAAGAGGTTAATTAATTAAGAATCTGTTTTTATGACTTTCATTTCAACTTGTTATCTCAACACTGAACTGGCTCTCTCATCAGACAAAACATTTCCTCCAAACGTTTTCTTTGTAAATTTCATATCAGATATGTACATAAGAAAGCGGATGTTTCATTTGTGTAATTAGTTTGGCGTCACTTAGAAGTAGCAGGTTCCTGTCTAATAGACGGCTCAAAAGGAATATCAACAGATACTACAACATGATTCGAATTGCCAAGAGAACAGAATTGCAATGCTCGACACAAGTCAGAAGAGGAGATAAAGAACAAATCAAGTAAAGAAGAATGATGATCAGAATTATTAGGCAAAACAAGTAGAGAAGTCCACTCTTTGAGACTGGACAACGGAAAAATTGAAAGCCTGAATATTGGCATCATCTGTAACATATGCTTGCAAATACTATTTACTCACAATAGTGTTTAATATAGAAATCACATTTTCAGAATTTTGCATGAGAACATCGGGATTATTTTTTATTCTTTCCAGAAGGTTAGAATCGTTCAAGAGATTCTCTGCTGCACTTTCATCTGGTTTCACCTACAAAAAAAAAATAAAGTAATATATCAATAAAGTAAAGTTAACAATGTTGATAAAGCTAATACTTTGCAAATTGCATTGGTCCTTTATTATTATTATTATTTATAATTTATTTTAACCTGCAATTGTTCTATAATCATATGCTGGGTTATAACAATGAACAAAACAAAAGACAGCTCTTAAAAGTCTTAAACGAACAAAGCTCTTGTTAGGATATAAGCTGTACTTCTTCGAACTATTTTTGAGGGTTTACTGAAGAGATGGGGCAACATGGATTTTGTTGTTTTGTTGTTGAGTTCCTATTTTTTATCAAACCCAATTCTCTAACCACAACAGGAACAGTTTTAGTCTTTAAGTGCCATATTTTTCTATTTTCATCTCCAGGTTTTTGTATTATTTGCTTAGTTTTCAAAAACTTTCGCAGAGATGTTTTTACCACTTGGTGCACTTATGTCAATCAGTGTGCAAACGTTCTCGTTTCTGTCTTTGATAATGTCAGGGCGATTTGCTTGTATTGTTCGATCTGCGTTGATAGCCCAGAGTATGGTAACATTTGCTCCTTCACAATGCAGATTCAGTATGGTGTTCATATCAGTTTGCAGTTGTTTTTATTCCGTAGAGATGACAGATCTATCAGTGCGGGTTTTTCACCTATCCTGTCATGACGCTTTCTGTACTCAATAGGTGTGAGTATTAAGCATGCTGAGATAAGCTGATCAAAAGTTTCAGTGTATTCGGTACACAACCTACATTTTGGGCCCATACTATTATGTAAGATATTAGCGTGGGATTTACGCTCTCGTCCTGGGCAATAAGAACCCTTCAGTCTAACCCCTAAGACCTTTGACACTGGTGGGTTGTGAATTGATCTACACCAGCATTTTTGCTTCGGAAAAGGAGTTGGCTATGTAGAGGCTTTCTTCTATTTGCTTCTGGCTTAGCTTTTTCGTTTCTTGTTTCAGTTTTCCTGCTGATTTTGTGGAAGCTGTACCACTTCAGTGCAATTATCAAGATTTAACCCGAATTCTCTTGCTTATCTATGGACTTCTTTTGATACAAAATAACGCTTTTACTTTTTCATGCTCCATTAAGAGTTGTAACATCTATTTTTTTTATAGATGCAAGATATTTATATGTTCCCATTGTTGAAATTTATGAAAAGAATTCCAGTTAAATCCTGCCCATAACCCCAGTGCTCCTTGGTAGAAATACAGACGCTCAACATCTGCCTTACGGTGGTGCATTCAATTGCATGTGCGTTGTTTCCGAATATTTGCATCAATTTTCTTGAATTCCTTTAAATTCCAATTTATTATGTTGAATCCCAAAAGTTACAATTGGGATAGCAACAGTGTTAATGGCCGTTATTATAATTTTTTGAATCCAATTCAGTTTTCATTATTAGTCGCATTCATATAATGTACGCTATTCTGATTTTTTCTTTCATCTTCGAATGCTAGATTCTTTCATTTATACCTATATACGTGTAAGTACTTTTGGGGACTTCGACTTGGTTTAACGGTTAGCAAATCTGTCTCGCTAGATCAATTACAATTGACTAGTGAGTTCGATTCTCACAGGCTTTGCTTAGAAAATCCCTATAGGCTTGTAAGTACCTTCCTGGTCAAGTCCCTTAATCACAGTATCTACACCAATAATCATATTCACCTCACTTGAAGGTGGCCTTTGCATATTTATCTAGACGAAATCCCATTCATATATCTTGATTGAAACTGTTCAGTCTTTAAAAGCCATTCCAATTCATCATCATTTATTGCATATAACTGCAGGTCATCAATATAAAATAGTTGATTTATCCTTTTATCTCTGATCTTATATCCAATAACCTGCATTATTTAACAATTTTGATAAAGAAATTAATGCCAGGATTTAAAGAGTCTTCTTGAAAAATTCCACATTTAATTTCAATGTCTTTACTCTGGAAAACGACATTAAAATGCTAGAATACGAAAGTAACAGATCTGTGTTCCACAATGACATTATCGTTGATGAGATTATTATTATTATGAAATGGCTTCATAACAACTTCTATTGTTCATTTTTTGTAAAAGAAAAACCTAGGTTCACACACATTTTACATAGATAAAGCTCTTCGTAATGTGAGAGCTGTACTTGTGATTACAATTTTTGTATTTCTTTAAGGAATCCCTTCAATGAGTCTATCGGAAACTTTTCCAATCATTCCGATGGCTCCAGTTATAAGTGGAATTATTGATGACATCATGTACCATATTTTTAGGTTTCCACTTCAAGAACAATTTATTTTGATAGTTTTTGAAGATCTTCAAAGATATATTACAATCTGCAGAGACTGCCATGTCAATGAGAAAGTCCATGTTATTCTTGTGGTCTTTCATCACAATGTCTGGCTGATTAGATTTGATTTTTCTGTCTGTGTGTATGGTAAAGTTTCGTAAAATTGTAACAGGCCTTATCTCTGTAACCAGTTTCCTTCCCGTAAAATTTGCATATTTTGCAGTGCAAATATTAGCCGAGTTTTATATACAGTGGACAACACTGCAACTTGATATAAGTTGGTCAATTGTTTCTGGATATTTATCACAGAATCTGCCTTTTTTTCAGTATGCGTGCTTGGTAATTTCTAGTTAACAAGCATTGGTCCTGTGTCGCAAGAATAAAACCTTCGGTTTCAGATCTTAACTCTGAACTACATAACCACTGATGGGTACGGGGTTTGTCTACATCAGCTTGTTTAGTATTGACCATGAAGAGGTTCATCTTGCTATCGTTTTGGCATTTGGTACATTGCATTTGCTTTCTTTTTTAGGTTTTTTTTTACCGCTGCAGTAGGTGTTATTATGGTTTATTTGCATTTCTTCATCCACTTGAAATTCCCTTTTGATTTTGTTGGCATCCTTTATTACTGAATAATGGTACTTATTTCTTTCATGCTCTTTGACACACATTATCATCTCGTCTTCTGTAGTTTTCAGGTGTCTTTGTAGAGTGATTCTCTTGATCTTGGCACATACAGACGATCAACATCATCCTTAATATGATGCAAGTGAGAAGCTTTCTCGTTTTGACACCCAATTCGCTTAATGTAAGCTATGGTCCAATCAAGGATGTCGAAACTGTGTTTATAGTTGATATTCTGTTTTGTGAATTCAACTTAGTATTTAATCCTAGGCAAACACGCCTGTAGTATTCTTTTCTTACTTTCTCCTTCATTCACGGTATACTGTATTCCATCTCATTCACTAACTCCTAGGTATTTATAGGATTTCTTCTTGTTCCAGTTCCCTAATCTTTGTGACAAAATCGAGATTTATTGGGTGTGTTTCTGTAATTCTCCCTTTCTTATATGTTACTTTTGTCCATTTATGTAATCCGAAATCCATACCGACGTCACCATCATTGTCGTCTTTGGCAAAGAGTTTTATATCATCCATGTACAATAAGTGATTAACCATTTTCTTTTTTGTATCCATAGTTATTACTGTTTACTTCATGCAAAAGGGAGATTAAAGACAGGCAGAACAGAACAGGCGTCGGGGAGTCTCCTTGAAAGATTTCTCGTCGGATATTCAAACAATTGGAAGTGGCAGCACCTTTGGGGTGATTTAGGTATAAAATCATTTTCCACAGTTTCATGCTGTATTCAAGGAAATTTACTATCACTGAGGAGACATTCTACATTTTCACACTATCAAAGGCTTTTACGGTAATCTATCCTAGCTGTGCCGAGATTTCTACCTTTTTTCCTAAAATTTTCCAGGATCATTTTATTTACTAGTAGTTGATCTTTGCAACCATATGAACCTCTTCGACATCCCTTCTGCTCCATTGGGTGTATGTTGTTTTAATGAAAAGAGCATGTACACTTCGTCAGGGCAGAATTTATATGTGGTGAACAGATGTTATTAGCCTATAATGTTTTAGATCGTCTGTTTCTCCCTTTTTGGTAGATGATATGTAATACTTTCAGTGATCTATTCTGAAATTTATTTAGAGCTAACCTAACATTATTCTTGTTTAAATATTTCCATTCTTTCACAGGTTTATCCTTCATTCATTCTTTCTTCTTCTTCTTCTTCTTATTATTATTATTTTAATATGATATTTTATGCTACGGGATTTTACATGAGGTGCAAATAAGTTCCATCCTCTTGTTTAAAATGCAACTTTTTCATCTCTTTTTTCTTGTTAGAGACTCTAGTTTTAGCCGTTTTATACTAACTGATCTGCAAACTGTTCACTTGATATTCCAATGTATACCTTGCAGTAGAATTCTATACTAACTTGGGTCGAGACAAAGTAACGATCGTTGAAATGTTTCTAAGTAGATTTAACTCACATTTATTTTATCCAATGAAAGAAGAAATTTTACTTTCCTCAATCAAGTTAGCATTTTCCTTTTCTGTGCGTTTTCGGATTTTATTGAATTAAAATAAACATACACAAAGGAAAAAAATCATTTTCTGTTAAATGTGGATGGCCAAGGAAGAACTAAACTGTGAACTGTTATTGTTGCTTAAGTCTTGGCTTCTACCTGTAATGTGGTATTTTATTTTTCTTCTATGGCGAAAGAAACAAATCAAGTCAAAAATGACTTGTTCACAGCGCTGGAAAAGATTAATATTGAACCAGAAAAGACTCTTCAACCAATTAATCGAACCTCCTTTCAATGACGTAATGACAGAGCTGATACAAAAGCCCTAAACTTCGCCCAAGTGGGGGCTTCCTTACATTGCTCGATTCAGTAACAGCGGAAATAATCAGCAAGGTACAAGCAGAAGTCCTTGTGGTTATAAAAGCCTTGACCGAGCCCTGTTTGCCGCCTTTTTCATTTTCCCATTTCAGCTGTCTCTACATCCACGGCCAGCTGTCCCTCTCTCTCTTTTTCATCTTCCATTTCAGTGGCCTCTAGCTCA